TTTAGGTGTAGGCTGATTCTTGAATCTTTTTTATTGTAGATTTTTGGAGGGTATTTAACCATCTGTTGTTGCAAATTGGTTGATTTTGTAGTTTTGTGAGTGAAGGAAGAGCTTTTTGCATAGACCATGTTGAGAGATGAGGCTTAGATTTAAGAATGGGGTGTGTGATTAGCAGAGAAGCGTCCTCAGGAGTAGATTCTGAGTCTAAGGGTGAGAAGAAGGATTTGAGTGTAGAATCTAAGAGGAAGGTAGATGATGTTGTGGTGCCGAAGGTAGATAGTGAAACTATTGAGGTTCATGATGGTGGGGGTGAGGCTCATGTGGGTGGGGGTGAGGCTAAGAAGGAGGAGAATGGTCATGGAGGTCAAAGACCTCCCAGGGGGGAGAGAAGGCGGTCAAAGCCAAACCCAAGGTTAGGTAATCTACCGAAGCAATCGCGTGGTGAGCAGGTGGCAGCCGGGTGGCCCCCCTGGCTCACGGAGGCGTGCGGAGAGGCGCTCAATGGGTGGATTCCACGGAAAGCAGACACGTTTGAAAAAATTGATAAGGTGCGTTTTCTTTTTTCTTTTTCTTTTTTCTGGAAAAAGTGGAGATTGTTATTGTTGCTTGCTTTGTAAAAATGATGTGGTGGAGATAGTTTATGAGAATTTCACATAATTATGGTCGTTTGCTATGACTTGAAGGGAAAATGTGATCAGCCAAGTCATTTTAGATGCATTCTTCAAAATCTTCCTATTTGGAGTGACTATCACAAATGATGTGGCCGTAAACAAAATTGCAATTAATTGCACAATGCCTATCACATAATTTTGGGTCGTATCATTTTTTATGGATATTTCATCATGTATAGCTTTCTTGGCCAGTTCATCGTGTAGCTATGCTTTAGTTTATGCACTCTTCTTGTGTATGGTTTTGATTCCTTTCATTTTGTTTTCCCTAATGTTAGATTGGGTCAGGAACATATAGTAATGTGTACAAAGCTAAAGATATGTTGACGGGGAAAATTGTTGCACTAAAGAAAGTTAGATTTGACAATTTGGAACCTGAGAGCGTGAGATTTATGGCTAGAGAAATCCTAATTTTGCGGAGACTGGATCATACGAATGTTGTAAAGTTGGAGGGTCTGGTTACATCGAGGATGTCATGTAGTTTGTACCTGGTGTTTGAGTACATGGAGCATGATCTAGCTGGACTTGCTGCAAGCCCAGATATTAAATTTACAGAACCTCAGGTTAGCCATTTTTGCCCTAAACTTTGAAACCTAGTTATCACGTTGAAAGCAACTATTCTGATATTTCGTTATTTGGCATCTCACAATTCAGGTCAAATGTTACATGCATCAACTGCTATCCGGACTTGAGCACTGTCACAACCGTGGTGTGCTTCACCGTGACATTAAGGGATCAAATCTTTTGATTGACAACGGAGGAGTACTTAAGATTGCTGACTTTGGGTTGGCTTCTTTTTTTGATCCAAACCACAAGCATCCCATGACTAGTCGGGTGGTTACTCTATGGTATCGACCTCCTGAGCTTCTTCTTGGGGCTACTGACTATGGTGTGGGCGTGGACCTTTGGAGTGCAGGTTGCATTTTAGCAGAGTTACTAGCTGGGAAGCCTATCATGCCTGGTCGTACAGAGGTAACATGTTAACTCTCTTTGTGGATTTTACATTTGTCCTTGCTTAGTAAAAGACTAAATCTGTGAGAAGACATTTAACTGGTAATGTTTAAGATGGAGATATCGCCAGGTAATTTATAATTATTGCCTCCGGTTTGGTTGTACGATCATATATCCAAGTTGTTTTTCCTAAATGTCACTGCCATGGTTCGATGATATATCTAGTTGGCTTTCATAACACTGAGTTTCTTGTGTTCAGTTGGTTGTAATAGATGTTTAAAGCTAAAATCTTTTCCATTTTCATTGTTTGTAAGTTAAAAAAATGCTGATATGATAACATATATATGGACATTTTATGCTATTCTTGCTTACTGTGTTTCTGACATAAATATGTAAACTGCCTACTGTAGACATGTCTGACATCTTTACTTCTCAAATAGGTGGAACAACTACATAAGATATACAAACTATGTGGCTCACCTTCAGATGAATACTGGAAAAAGGCAAAGTTGCCCAATGCAACTCTATTTAGGCCCCGGGAGCCTTACAAAAGAGCCATAAGAGAGGCATTTCAAGAGTTTCCTCCATCATCATTGCCCCTTATCGAAACCCTTCTCGCAATTGATCCAGCAGAACGTCAGACAGCCACAGCTGCATTGAGCAGTGAGGTGAGTTCTAACACTACGACCATTTGTTATCATTTCAAGATCTTGATAATGTATGGCTTCTTACTATGTATTGTATTCTTTCTATAAGTTTAATCAACTACAACGAATCTTGATTTCTTGATAGTAGACTTGTCGGATTTTAGATAAGACTCCAAGAAAAAAAGCAAAAAAATGCAAACTGAAATGCTTGCTGCATATCTTTCCTTGACTATTTTAGGGCCTTGTAGTCTGGAATGGTTAATGAAACTAAGCATTGTAATCCTTAGACTGTCACCCGCTTAACTGTGTCAAGTTGGGGTCCAAGTCTTGTCTGGTAGTGTGGTGCCTAACCATCACTATAGTTATGCTAATTGGGTCCATATGCCGGTCCATGACTGCATTGATGAAAATCATGCATACTTTGTGCTAGTTGGTGATTATGTTAAGCTACCATGGTTCCTTTTGATAAATGTACTTATATTCTCGGTTTTGCTCATTCTTTCCTTGCAGTTTTTCATGACAGAGCCTTATGCTTGTGAACCTTCTAGCCTCCCACAGTATCCCCCAACCAAAGAAATTGATGCCAAACGCAGGGATGATGAAGCTCGTAGGTATGGGTCTTGTAGACTTTTTGAAGCTTAGATCTCACCATGTTTGGATACTCAACCACCATATGTGAAATTAATTTCATAAGTTCGCTTATATTCAATAATGTGTGAAATGTGACAAGCAAAATTTTGATGGTTGTGCAGACTTCGAGCTGCTGGTAGAACCCAAGCTGAAAGTGCAAAGAAAACACGCACACGTGAACGTGCTCCTAGGGCTATGGCTGCTCCAGAAGCCAATGCCGAGCTTCAATCCAATATTGACGTATGTCTAATATTTGCTTCTATCAATCATTGTCATCTTATAACTTCACAGTTCATTTACATAAATATGCTTTTAGATTACGTATTTTTACAAGAAGATAATAAGAAAGAAAAATAACAAAGTGGTCTAGCATTGTCAAAAGAATACTGCTGAGATGTCAGTGAGCCTGAGCTGTTTGGTTTGCCACTTCAACATGCTCTGGCAATGCGACGTTGGCTTGTTTATTTGCCACACATTAATGAGTTTGGATTTAATGTACTTGCCAGCTTTACATGCTTAGACATAACATAACAATTTGACCAACTTTGGATGAGTTATTTGATTCAGGTTTCAATTTATAAGTATGCTAATACATCAATTATCTTCTAAAACAGAGAAGGCGCCTAATTACACACGCAAATGCAAAGAGCAAAAGCGAAAAGTTTCCTCCACCACACCAGGATGGGGCAGTTGGCTACCCTTTGGGATCTTCACATCATATTGATCCTGCCCTTGTTCCTCCTGATGTCCCTTTCAGTACAACCTCATTCAGTTATCCTAAAGAATCAATGCAAACTTGGTCAGGTCCTTTGGTTGACTCTACTACTGCTGGTGGTCCAAGACGGAAGAAACATACCGGACATGATGCCCGAGAAACATCAAAATCCTATACAGGAAACCATAGAGAGAAACATCAGGATGCTCGTGTTCGAGGAAAGAGAAGTGTGGCTTAAACCCGAGTTCATAAAGTGGGAACATAATTGTGAACTGTTGGATGCCTCTTTCCAATCCCTATTCCATGGGAGTCTGATTGTTAGCAGACAAGAGTTGAATTTATCAGCCCCAGCTTCTTTTCGCAGTGTAATTGTTTCATTAGAAGTGCAGGGTTAAATACAATATTTTTTGTTTTATAATCCCGTTTACCTTTTGTCCCCCCCATATCTACAAGATAATGATTTTTTCTTCTTTTCTTTTTTGCTCCTTTTCAATTTGTTGGATGGTGAATTGGTGAGAGGCGTTGCCCTCTGTTATGTATATCTTCATCTTAATTCTTTTTCCCAAGTTTGTGGTGTTGGAAGCTTACTGCTTGGAGTAGTGAAATGATTTAATAAATCATCAAGGGCCACATTTGTTGTTTTGTGCTTTATTTTTATGTCTTTTCCATTAAATAAATAAGGAGCAAATTCTTTGCCCCAAAAATGAAAACGAAGTCAAAGACACAAAGATGGCGTGACCTTGTGATGTTTCAACCTGAAGAGAAAGTTTACCAGAACATTAAAGAAGAGCCTGAAAGAAAAATAAATAAATGCCAAAAGCATTGTGCAATTAAGTAGTTTTATAAGCTATTGGACAATCAGTGGATGACATCTGGCACATTTTCATTTATTCTACTTTCATGCTTCTAAATTCATTTCCCCTAAACCCTATCCAACTAAAGAACACGATTTTTTTTTTCAAGGGAATTATTATTGACCCACCTCAAAAGTTATTTTGTACTTATAGTAGTTATTTTTTTCCTAATATTAAAAGATGTTTCAAATTCGAAACTGCCCTTATCGATATAAAAGGACACTGAAAAAACTAAAATTAGTAACATGAGGGAATATAAATGGACATTTTTTTCCTTGAGAAAATAATATTTAAAGGTGATTGCAACTTTACTAGATCTATTTAGAGAAAAATTATTAAGTATTGAATTATTAATCATAAAAATCCTTTAATTTTGCAAAGAAGGGGGAAAAAGAAAAAGAAAAGGAAAAACAGAGCTGAGGTTTTCTAGGGGGAAAAAGGTGAACAAAGTTATTAAAATCTTAAAACCGCCACTAAAGAGAGCACTCTCATGTTCTTATTAAAACCGCCATTAAATTTCTCAGCTTTCTCTCTTTCTCTCTTTCTCTCTCAAACACACGCAGAGGTTTCTTGTTACAGAAAACCCTCGATATTCTCACTTTCTTTCTCTGGAAACCAATAAAAAGCTTGGGCTAAAACCATAGAAACCAGAAGGCAAACAATGGAAGAAAATAACAGTAACAACGTGGCTAGCAACGTGGCCCAAGCCATTGCCGTAGCTCTCGACTGGAGCTCCACTTCCGATGCTCGCAAAGCAGCCGTCGCTTTCCTCGAATCCGTACTCTTTCTTTCTCTAAAAACTTCACCTTGTGCCGCTATCTCCGTGCTTTGTTATAACTATGATTTCTTCTTTCCGCCTTGAACTTTAAAGTGGTAGCTTTGTGAATGTTATGCCTCTGCGAGTCTGCTGGGCTTCGGAAGTATTGTTTTTTGGTAATTTGATCGAATTTTGTGAAATGGGTATTTGATTATTGTGCTTGTGGGGTTTTAAGTTTTTACAAAAATTTGTTCAGAATCAAATTTAGTGTTATGCGAAAGTTTGTGTTTTGATCGAGTTACAGGGAATGTGTACTAGTGATTGGCTTACTGTGTCATAGAGAATGGAACGGTAATGAAGATTTTACAGCTCACAAATTTAAATGACTCCTTAAAATTTCCTGTTGACTGAGTTTATTGGATGATCTCATTGTTTTTCTCTGGAGCATGTTGATCTTTAGTATCTATAAAATGTTTCTGTAAGGTTCTGATCTTGTGGAATCTATTGCTTGGTTTAAGAAGCTATATCTACCTGTCATTATTTTCCTTTGTTAATCCATACCTTATGTTCATATTGTCCAGATTAAAGCCGGAGATGTACGCGTTTTGGCGAACACATCATTCCATCTAGTGAAAAAGGATTGGTCTTCCGAAATTCGGTTGCATGCATTTAAAATGTTACAGGTTTATGCTTATGGAATGTTGTTTAAGCAGCTTTCTGTTTGATTTATAATTATTTGAATATTTCCATTTGACCCAAATGCCATATTTTTGTGCAGCATTTGGTCCGGTTGAGGTGGGAAGAATTAAGCCCTACAGAGCGTAGAAACTTTGCAAATATCACCGTTGATTTAATGTCTGATATTGCAAATCCCAGTGAGGAGTGGGCTTTGAAAAGTCAGACAGCAGCCCTTGTTGCTGAGGTTTACACAGCATTTCTTTTGAATCTATTTAGACTGCCAATGCTCATATTTGCGTTATAATACTCACTTGTTTTGATCTGTTACAGATGGTTAGAAGAGAAGGACTAAATCTTTGGCAAGAACTGCTTCCAACTCTGGTTTCATTATCTTACAAGGGTCCTATACAAGTAAATATTATTTCCCCTTGTTCAAACTATATTTCATTTAAAACATGCTTTAGGTAATCGCCTGATTTTCTACTGCTCCTTTTATTAGGCTGAGTTGGTCTGCATGATGCTAAGGTGGCTTCCTGAAGATATTACTGTTCACAATGAAGATTTGGAAGGTTTTGCACTTTTTTCTTTTTGCCTGTGAATTGGCAGTGGAGTGCGTGTGTGTATGCATGTAATGATTTTCCTCTGGATTTTGATTGCTGCATGCCTTACCCTGATTCTGAATGGTTAATGTAGGTGATCGGAGAAGGTTATTGTTGCGTGGGCTGACACAATCTTTACCTGAAATATTGCCTCTATTATACACTGTATGTCTGGCTCCTTGACATTTAATAGAAGTTGCATACAATGGATTTATCATAATAGCTTAATTATGTGCAGTTACTAGAGAGGCACTTTGGGGCTGTGTTGAATGAAGCAGGAAAACAACAATTGGACCTCGCAAAACAACATGCAGCAACAGTAACAGCTATTTTGAATGCTGTTAATGCATATTCTGAATGGGCTCCATTGCCTGATCTTGCAAAATATGGTATAATTCATGGGTATGGTATCCTTCTTTGAAGTTTTGGTGGAGTCTGGTTTGAAGCCATTGGCAAGTGTCTGTTTCTTATCTCCTCTCTCTCTCTATCTCTCTCTCTCTCTCTCTCTCTCTCTGCATGCACAGGTGTGGTTTCTTACTTTCTTCACCTGACTTCTGTCTTCATGCTTGTGAGTTTTTCAAACTTGTTTCCCAAAGGTATGCAACGTAGTATTTCCAGTAGCTAGTTCAATGTTCTTTACAGTTATAAATTATGATTTTCGCTCTTGCCAAGACAGTTCCGTAACAGTTGTGTTATTCTGAATTATGACAAGCAGGAAGAGACCTATTGATGATACCTCTGCTCCGGAATTTGATTCTGCAATGAGTAATATCTTTCATATATTGATGAATGTCTCCAAAGAATTTTTGTACAGATCAGGCCCCAGTGCTGGGGTAATTGATGAAAGCAATATTGAGTTTGCGGAATATATATGTGAAAGTATGGTATCTTTGGGTTCTACAAACTTGCAATGTATTGCTGGTGATAGCACCATGCTAGGTCTTTATTTACAACAGGTAACTAGAACATCGGGTTATATGCAAAAGGGCGTTTGTTGCTTGCTCATTTTGATTCTGTCAACAAGTAATTGCTAATTGAAATACAATATAACCTTTTATTTTTATTATTTTCTCAGATGCTAGGTTTTTTTCAGCATTTGAAGCTAGCTCTTCACTTTCAATCTCTCCACTTTTGGCTGGTACGAAGAGAATTTCCAAATTATTGTTATATTGTGTCAATAATAGAGGCTATGTCATACATTACCATGTTTGAACATCTTTCATGTTCATATATGCTTGTTTAGGCACTAATGAGAGACTTGATGTCAAAGCCAAAGGCTGTTGCTCGCTCAGCTGGAGATGGTTCTGACCCAGTCGATACTGAAAAGAGAAAGATCTTAAGTTTTTTGAGTGATGAAATATGTAGTGCAATTCTGGATGTATCTTTCCAACACATGCTCAAGCGAGAAAAGGTTCTTCATGGAACATCATTTGCTTTGGGGCCGTTGGAGTTATGGAGTGATGATGCTGAGGGGAAGGGAAATTTTGGCCAGTATCGTTCAAAGTTGGTAAGTAATTTTTACATAAGAACTCTAATATCTTTGTTTCTGCATATTCGTACAACATGAATGGATGGGTCAATTCATCGACTTTGTTAGTAACTGCAACTCAGATTAGAGGAGCTGTCAAAATAACCCTGAAATGGAACTCATTTCTTTTCATGTTAAACATTTATGTCATCTTGATCATACAGAGATTTCTTTCTCTGTTCTAGTTTATAATATTACTCAAGGTGATGTTAGGATAAGTTTATTCTATGATTCTCTTTAGCATAGGTGATGAAAATTACTCAGTTGGCCTTCCTTGGCCTGCATTTTTTTTAAAGTTTCTCACGAGATGCATGCATATGTTAATGCAGTTAGAACTGGTCAAGTTGGTAACTTCATACAAGCCTCTTATAGCTGGGGCTAATGTTTCTGAAAGAATTGATAAAATCATCAAAAACCTCTTGCTTTCTCCAATGCCTGCTCAGGTCTGGTTACAAGCACTTTCTCAATTCGATTTGCTGTCTTTAGAGTTTCCAGCATTCCAGAATTGCTTGCATTGATGGTTCTTGTAAATTTCCATCCTCTGTCTAATTCCAGGACTTAGCTGTGATGGAAAGCATGCAGCTGGCTTTAGAAAATGTTGTAAGCACCATTTTTGATGGATCAAATGAAATTGGTGGGGGTCATTCTGAAGTTCAACATGGCCTGTGCAAAATATTTGAAGGTATATTTGGAACCTTCTTTTTATCTCCCTAGAGCTAGAATTTTATATCTTGGGTTTATTAACAATACTGGTTTCTTCACTTGAAGGTTTGCTTCAGCAATTTCTTTCTTTGAAGTGGACTGAGCCGGCCCTTGTGGAAGTACTGGGGCACTACTTGGATGCAATGGGGCCATTTTTGAAGTATTTTCCAGATGCTGCAGGCGGTGTCATTAATAAATTATTTGAGCTCCTAAACTCACTTCCTTTTGTTGTTAAGGTCCATTTCAATATATTTACTTTCACTTTGATATTCATTGTATTTTAGAGAAACTTTAAAATCATGTTATTATTCTGCAGGATCCATCTACAAATAGTGCACGGTACGCAAGGTTACAAATTTGTACATCATTTATTCGTATAGCCAAAACTGCTGACAAAAGTATTCTACCTCACATGAAGGTGACTTAGTTTCTTAAATATTTCCTTTTATTTTTCTGGTTCTTCTTGTGTATATACAACTTTTACACATTTTATATGAATCATATGCCACTAGTATGAAAGACATCAAATTATTTTACGACATTTTGTGTAATTGGTTAGAAATTACATCAGTAGAATCTGTCATATGATCGTATCCATCCTTTGCATGTAAGTTTGCTTCCTAGCTATTGTGTAATTATTAATTGGGGTTTGGTGAATTACTGGTATCTGAGAAATGATACTTTTGAATGCTTCCTGTATTAAGGGTGTAAATAGTCCAAGGTTCCCCAGGAAAACAAAAAATTTAGTCTATATCCCCACTGAAGCAAACCCACGAACTTAGTTCTTGGAAATATCATTTTGTTTATTCACCTTCTCATGCGGTATTTTATGTAGGGTATAGCTGACACCACGGCGTATATGCAAAGAGAAGGTTGTTTGCTTCGTGGTGAACATAATCTTCTAGGTGAAGCGTTTCTTGTCATGGCTTCTGCTGCTGGGTAATGATTCTCTGGCGTGGATAGATATATTTTTGTTGTCAAATGATTCTATTATTGAAAATTTTGAAAATTTGTGCAGAATTCAGCAGCAGCAAGAAGTTTTGGCCTGGTTACTAGAACCTTTGAGCCAGCAATGGACGCAGCTTGAGTGGCAAAATAATTATCTATCTGAACCACTAGGTCTTGTTCGCTTGTGCTCTGAGACCCCAGTTATGTGGTCAGTTTTCCACACTATCACATTCTTTGAGAAGGCACTTAAGAGAAGTGGAACCAGAAAAGCGCATTTGAATTTGCAAAACAACTCAACCGAAACTGCTACTCCCTTGCACCCTATGGCTTCTCATCTCTCATGGATGCTGCCACCTCTTCCAAAAGTACGCATGTTGCTTCTGAAAATTAATTGTGTTAAAATTCCTCATTCACATTTCTTCTAAATGTGGTACATTTTTGGCCATTTGTTTATGCAAATATGTTCACTGTGACTACAACATGGTAATAGTTGGTGCATGTTGTTGATTTGCAGCTGCTTCGCTCCATTCATTCCCTTTGGTCTCCATCTGTATCCCAAACACTTCCTGGAGAGATTAAAGCTGCAATGACCATGAGTGATGTTGAGCAATTCAGTCTTCTTGGTGAAGGAAACCCTAAATTTTCAAAGGGTGCGGTAACCTTTTCTAGTGGATCTCTTATCAGTGCAAGTAAGGAAGGATACACAGAGCCAAATGAATCAGACATACGAAATTGGTTGAAAGGTATCAGAGACAGTGGGTATGTATTCCTGCATCGACTAAATAATTAATTCTTTAAGCCAGATTCTTTATTGGTTCATCATCCATGTAGGTTTTCTTCATTTAGTGTCGAGGCATTGTTTATAAATGCAGGTACAATGTATTGGGCTTGGCAACCACTGTTGGAGAGTCATTTTACAAATGTTTGGATAGTCAATCTGTTGCTCTAGCTCTAGTGGAGAATATACATTCAATGGAATTCAGACATATCAGACTGCTTGTTCATTCAGTTTTAATTCCCTTGGTTAAATTTTGCCCTGTGGATTTGTGGGAGACATGGTTAGAGAAGCTCTTGCACCCATTATTTCAACACTCCCAGCAGGCTCTTAGTTGCTCCTGGTCCAGTCTTCTACGTGAAGGGAGAGCAAAGGTCCCAGATGCCCATGCCATACTCGCTGGGTCAGACTTAAAAGTGGAAGTAATGGAAGAAAAGCTACTTAGGGATTTAACTCGGGAGATTTGTTCACTCCTCTCTGTTATAGCTTCACCACAGCTAAATACCGGGCTTCCTTCCTTGGAGCACTCTGGGCATGTTAGTCGTGTTGACGTTTCTTCACTCAAAGATTTGGATGCATTCACTTCTAGCTCTATGGTTGGGTATGTTTGATTGACATTGTTTCTTATCAAAGTAGCTTTTTCTGTTGGTCTGTCCTGTTGTACTTTTACAGCCTTGTGAATTTATTTTTCCCCACAAGTTCTCCGGTCTCAAAGTGCACTCCATTTACAGTTTCCTGTTGAAGCACAAAGGTCTTGCCCTTCCAGCGCTGCAGATATGTTTAGAAGCTTTTACATGGACAGATGGTGAATCCATGACTAAAGTTTCTTCCTTTTGTGCTGCTTTGGTTGCTCTAACGATATCAACAAATAGTACGGAACTCCAACAATTTGTGTCTAAGGATCTCTTTTCTGCAATCATCCAAGGTTTAGCCCTTGAATCAAATGCTTTCATCAGTGCTGATTTGATTAGTCTCTGTCGTGATATATACATATATCTTTGTGATAGAGATCCAACTCCTAGGCAGGTTAGTTACGGAACCTTCTGCTTGCCAATATTTTGGGATGGTAGTAATTATACTCTAGTTATAATTCATTTAACAAACTTAATGGACGTGCTTCTTGGGTTTCGCAGGTTCTGCTCTCACTCCCTTGTATCAAACAGCACGATTTGCTTGCTTTTGAAGAAGCTTTGACGAAGACATATAGTCCCAAAGAACAAAAGCAACATATGAAAAGCTTGCTATTACTAGCTACTGGAAACAAGTTGAAAGCCCTTGTTGCTCAGAAAAGCGTAAATGTAATAACAAATGTATCAAGTAAGTCCAATTACTGACTTCACAATCTTTTTCAAGCTTTTAAAAGAGCATGCTTTCCAAATGTTGCTATAGTTAGTCTTAAGTTGTGTAATGCTGCATCTAGTGGCTTCTTAATCTTAAGCTTCTTCCAAATATCTTCATTTTATATGAGGCATTTCCCCCCTATTTCTTTCAGTACTTGGTCTCTCCCAACATTAAAACATTCCGCAGACCAGGTTTCTTGTTAACTTTCGCTCTTTAAATGTGCTAAAATCTTGCTGCATCTAATTTTATAAGGTTTATGAAGGTGGTAGGAAAGAACCTTAGACTCTGAAGAGCTTTTCTGTGTCTCCCTTAGTCAAAAAAAGTGGATACAGTACATAAAAAATATAAACATACCTGGCTCTGTTTGTCTTTCCCTCTTATGAAGGTCTGATAGATTTAGTGTTGATTTCTTGTCTTTCTCTCCATAAAATAGATTTAGGTTCAGGTTCGGCTTGATCTTTTCTTTTCCTTTTTGAAGATTTTTTACATTTTGTTCAAAAGTTGTGTAATTATGTGATAGCTAGTCAACTGGGTGTATATATTAACTAGCATGCTGCTGCAATAATAATTTCAGCAAGGCCTCGCAACACCGTCAACGTTGCAGAAACCAGAGTGGATGAGGGAGAGAGTGTTGGACTGGCAGCCATATTGTGATGCATGTGTGATCTCTTGTACAGAAATGAATTCAAGTGGAAGACGGAAAATCCTGTTTGAGGAATATGATGAGGTAAATGACCTTTTTCTTTTTTCTGCCAGAGGTCTACACAACTTTTCTAATGGGTTCACCTCAAATAAAAGATACATGACACCATGTTGTACTGTACTGCCATGGAAATTAGGTTTTCAGACATACATTTCTTTGTATAGCAGCACAAATCAGAGAAAAGAAGAAGAAATCTTTGTTTTTGCTCTTTCTTTTTTTATTAAAGCTTTGGCAGATTAAAACCACATGGCAGTTTTCATTTCACTTAACCAGTCTGGACCTCTCAAACCAAACTTTCATGAATCATGTGCATGTCATGAATGCCGTTTGCTACCTCTCCTTTTCGAACCATGATTGCTTATAGAGCATGCGTGCCCCATTTGAATTAGGAAACGTGATGCAGATTGTCCAGTTAGCTCAGCCATTGATAAGCCTGGAACCCACACTGTCTATAGGGCTCACAATGAATAAATAATGGCTATCCTATGCTAGTAAAATGAAATCCTTCATCAGTGATTAAAAACGGTTTATAATCACAAATCCTAACGGTCAACTTTTTCATTGTTGTTTCGTTTGGACGGATCGTGACACGTGGATATAGTCCAACATGAGAAGTAGTTTCATGTTTATTATTTTAAACGGTTAAAATTGCTTCGTCCCCAAAAAAAAGGGTTAAAATTGCAATATGTCGGTGAAATCTGACACAGAAATCTACATCTCTTGGGATTTTTGTTTTATTTATTTTCTTCTTCTTTGTGAGCCTTTTGGTACCGACATCTGTTGTGTTGTGTCCTTCCAACTACTCTTATGCCAAATGCCACGCGTTGGTTAGTTTGGGGACCGTATGTTCGTGTCAATAAAAAATTATTGTACGACATTGGTACATATTATAATATGTAAATATGTAATTATACGTTTTTATTATCGTACAAAAAAATTTCATCACCACCTCCTCGGTCATGGTACACGCTTTCTAAGCAGAGTGGACTAGGGTATGTAATTGAATGGGAGGCATGCTTCATTTTTGAATGGTAGCTGGAAGGAATGGTAGGTGAAATGTGTTAGATGAAAAGGAAAAAGTAAAAAGGTTAGAACTGGAGTGATATGGCCCAATCAATGTGAATAATATTACACACACACACACGCATATATATATATATATATAGCTATAGTTGAGCAATGCGAATATACGCTGTTGTTTTTAGTCTAAACCAACCCCCATCAACCTTCTAAAAGCTTGCACTAGTTCCCAGAGCATACTGCACAGTTGCCGCACCTGCACTGACACAAATCTTATTATAAGATACTGTTTGGTGTGGTGGAGAAGGTAATCGTAGAGGCCTATAGCAGCTACCAATGAGACCCGGAGGACCACCAGGAGGACCACCCGGACCGCCTGGTCCTCCAGGACCTGGACTGCCTCCTCTCTTCGGTGGCTTTTGTGATTTCATAGGTTCATGGTATGTCAACTTGCAACTTTGTTTGTCTGATGTTTTGAATTTAATCACTTCTCTCTCCTCTAGTTAATAGAATCACTGCATACATTTTGTTATCCAAACCAATTTCTTCGTATGATTCATTGTCTTCCTATTTTCCTTACTTTTATGTTATCCATTTAAAATTAAAAAAAAAATCATAAGAATCATTCATCCCCGGTTCCTAGCTGATGCCTTCCTTTTTTCGTTTCCTTACAATTATTTATTTGCTTGTATATTTGTTTTGTTTTTATGGGAGTTCGTCGTTTTGGTTGGTTGCAGTTTGAGTGTTCTGTGCTGCTGCTGGCTGTTACAAGACTGCTTTGGTGGTGGGCCACCACCAGGGCCTGGACCTCCTGGCCCACCAGGGCCACCTGGAGGACCACCACCCCCGCCATGAATAATGAAATGAATGATGCATGGATAATGGATTCATGGCATGGCAAGGCAGCTGCTTGCTTAGCCCCATATATATATATATATAGCGTTGTAATGTAATCAATCTCTGAGAGTCAAGAGTGATTGAGAGTCATGGTCATGGCTGAGTTTTATTAGTCACTGTGTGTCTGTCTGTCTGTCATTTGAGTTTGCCAGAGGCTTTTTAATCAGCCTCTCTCTCTCTACCATTCGGAATAAAATAAAATATATTTATTTAGCTCATCATCGATTTGCAATAATTTTCTGTTTTATTTAAATTAGATGTTGAAATTAATCCCAACAAACAAATTTAACATTCACGATGTTGACCGCAGACTGTTGAAATCAAAACGACCACAACATTAAGGTACATAATTCAATCCTCCTACCCTCTCAAAATTCAAAACACGTTGTCAGTCGGTCATCTGATTCAAACAGATAATAGTAGCAGTGTGTGTGCCAAAACGAGTGGTTCGGATAATTTGAAACAAATGCAGTTTGGAATACTGAAAAAAAAGGGCATATAAACATTTTTTTGCGTGTGCTTGCAAGCTGCATGCATCTGTGAAAAAGGGGAGGTTTGAATGTTAGGTTGATGTCTCAACAGTTGGTTATATAGAAGAGAAGTAGATGACACACTATCCGTGAGTTTCGGGTGGCCAACGACTTCTGCTAGCCTTAATCAATGCCGGAGTTTTCACTGTAATGCCCTACGTACCTTATGAAAAACAGGAAGAACAAAAAAAACTCAGAGCTGCTGTGGACCAAGGGGTGGTGGTGGACCTGGCTTTTGAATGTGATCTTCTGCATAATGTTGAGTTTCAAGCTCAATATATACGTGATGTAATAACAAGTGAGAGAATGTTGGCATGTTGCTGCTGTTTTTGCAACCTAGTCCCAAGTTTGTGTTTATTTTGCAATTTCTTTTTCATTCCTTGTTTTATGCGCCGAGTTATTAAATTTCATGATACTATTCCCTAAAAGGACGACGGTGTTATAACTTTTGTTGGAAGTTGAAGAAAGAAGTGTCAATGTTGTGATCAAAACGATAAACCTTAATTAACGAGTGTATTCTATTGACATTGAAAACGTTCTTAACTTCTTATCCAACCATATATTTCAACGACAACAACCCAAAAAAGCCTTCGTTTATAAATTATATCCAATCCAATCCAACCAATATTTGAAAATCATATCTTACATACATACGTTGTAGTATATACTGATATTTGAAAATCATCTCCCAACAAACGCCATTATAAAGCTTTTCGTTCCGTAATTTTAAACCGAAAGAAGTTTTTCACCTTTACATTCTCACATAATTTATAAACAACCGTCATTAATTAATGTGTGCAAATTAAAATGGATTTGCCAAAAAAACAAAGATAAACACACAGATTTTGACAAAACACCTTGTCAAAAGTCAGAACACGTACGTTTGTCAGTCGGTCATCTTATCCAAACAGATTATATATGTGCATGTGTCGACCAGACAAACAAAAAAATGGTCGGTCCATCGAAGTCTTTGAATTAGGTCCTAAGAAAAGAAATGAGGTGTTAGTTTCGAATGATGAAGTCACATAATGTACTGTGTATGTCTGAACTGGGCATATAAACATTAATTTTTCGTATGTATGCGGAAAAGGGGAGGTTTGAATGTTAGGTTTATGTCCGAACAGTTGGTTATATTATATATAAGAAAAGTAGCTAGAAATATCAAGAATCAATTAATACTTAGCCATTAAGCTCTCTCTCTCTCTCTCTCTCTCTCTCTCTCTTGATGAAAGTATGAACCTATAAATAAACAGGAGCTACATCAATCTCATTTTCAGCGAGAGAAAAGGGAAGCTGTATCACCAGAGTGCTTTGCTTGATTAAGAGACAAAGAGAAGAGAAGAGAAAGAGATGCCGCCACCTGGACCGGGAGGCCCACCGGGCTTTGGTTGCTTAGGCGCCCTCTGTAGCGGTATATGCCGCCTTTTATCATCTTGGTGAGTTCATCACTTTGGCTTTTTATAATTTTATTCATGTAATTGCCCTCCCAAATTATAAGTTAACAGAAAATGTAGCTGCATCTGCTGCATGCTTGTTTCAATTTTCTTTTTTCTTTTTTTTTTTCTTATTTATGAAGGTAATTTCCTAATTATTATTATTATTATTATTATTCTAACATTATTGTACATATATATGTGCACTGTGCAGTGCTTATGTCCTGTGCTGCTGCTGCCTGTTTGAGAGCTGCTGTGGACCCATGTTTGGTGGGGGATTTGGCGGTCCTGGTGGGCCCGGTGGTGGTCCTGGTGGACCCGGTGGTGGACCTGGCGGGCCCCCTCGCTTTTGAATATGAGCTGGCTGCTGCTGCTGCCTGTGATCTTCTGCATGATGTTGAGTTTCAAGTTCAGTATCTAAATATACATGATGTAATAACAAGGGAGAGATGTTGGCATGTTGCTGCTGTTTTTGCAATTTGCAATTCAATATTCTCCCGCTTTTAGTCCATATTTGAGTTTATTTGCAATTTATTTTTCATTTGTTTTTTGTTTTTTGAGCAGAATTAATTAGTATTAATATTATGTAACCTTTGTTTACCAGATGATGATCCACCACCACCATCCATGACAATTAAATAAAATCTCTTCCTTTTTTTCCCCATTACGATTCATGAAACTTACTTATATATATATATATATATATATATCTTCCTAACCTAAAGCTAAATAATCATTTAAAACTTACTTATTTTAATAAGAAAGTTAAAGGTTACATATTCATTTTGGTGGGGGCGGCTGGTGGGTTCTATACTTACCTTTCCTTACTTACCAGTCACTCCAATATAAGTAAATAAAGGCCTAACTAGAGACTTCTAATACATTCCATTAATTCCAAACCCTCTTCCCTTCCCTGCACTGCAACTCTATAAAAATATGCACTACTAGTGAATTAGAGAGAGAGAGAGAGAGAGAGAGAGAGATGCCGGGTTGGGGACCGCCGCCGGGAGGACCTCCAGGGCCGGCAGGGCCATGTGGCTGCTGCGCTTTCTGTTGTGATGGAATTTTCAGGCTTTTTTCTTCATGGTGAGTTGAGTACTAGTACCGTAAATCTTGCTAAAATGCTCTCTTATCTTATATTATATATGCTTCATATTCATAATACTACTAGCTCTTTTAACTCACGTCCAAGTACTTTTGTTAAATGAAAAGAACACAAATAAACAAATTATAAATAAATAAATTATCTAAACTCCCCTTCTTCATTTATAGAGTTATAGACATTAGATCAATAATTATATTCAAAATTAATTGTAATTTTAAATCTCAAGGTGGTGGTTGTTGTAACTCAGGCAGTGGCACCAATGCCAATGATGGATGCGATTGAAAAACTTGAGCTATCATTATTTTGTAAGATAATATAATATAATATAATTCACCATTTGATCCTTCCCAACACGATTACAATTCTTTTTGTTTATGTTGGCAGTTTCTATCTCTTGTGCTGCTGTTGCATCCTAGAGAACTGCTGTGGACCTATGTTTGGTGGGCCACCTGGACCCCCTGGCCCACCTGGCGGGCCCCCTGGACCTCCCCCGCCATGGTAGATAGATCACGTGTCGTGTGTTATATATCGATCACGAGTACATTTCATGTATATGTATGTAATGCAACTCCATATATCAACCTAGCTAGTAGCTACCTATTTCAAATTTGACAAGATGTTGTATTAAAATCGTTTCCTTGGTATTTCACTGTTTGCCCTCTTCTACGCTTATTCTGCGTGTAACCAAGTCGTTGCTTTCTTTATGCCATTGTTTTTTAATTTATTTATGGTACTTATGACTTGGGTTGTATTAGAGAGCCTCGCCTAATCCCTGATGACTTAGCCCGGTTTTTGTACTTGTTACGTTCCATTATCAATAAATACTACTGCCTTTAATTAAAAAAACTATGAATGAATAATCATATAACCTCTCTCTTCTTTTTTCTTTTTTTAATCAGATATAACATTTCTCATTGTTAGCATAACAATATCAGATCCTTCAAAAATATCCTAGGACAAAAAGAAAAAAAAGCACAAAATTGTTATTATTGATTTCTGTCAAAAATTACACACATGCAAGTGCATGAAAATTTGTAAAAAGCATTTTTGGAGCCTATGGACAAAGCCTTTCCCATCCTACCATACATCATCAGAGAACACACTTCTTCGCCGTTGGGCCCCGCTTTGTTAAAAGCATCCGCTGCCAAACCGGATTTACGAAGAATCAACTGCTTCCTATTCTTCATCTTCTTCTTCTTCTTCTTCGGATGCCTCTCTCAACCACTGAGACATAAGATATACAAGATGCAACTGTTGTGAAACAAGGCTAACATCATACGAAATTTAACTGGAGAAAACCACTATCGGTACATGTCATCAATTTTGGTTGCCAGAAATATCAGCCTGACTTCTTTTTTTTCTTGTTTTTCCAGTATTTAAGTTAACCCAAATTGCAAACTAGTCTTATATTGCATGAATGGACAACACTGGAGCTAGCGGCCATGCTAATCGTTCTGACAATACAACCGTAAAGAATTGAAAAACTGATGAGTCGCACACAATACATACTTATATGTTGAACTCATAACTTCTGTTAACAAATACAGGCATCCACCGATATATTAAAATACGAAGTACTTCCCTTAAAAGCTCAGCCAGTAGCATGCAATTGCAAATGGGGAAAAAAAAGTTATTCCAATCGTGCAATGGCAGTGTGTATATATGTTATAATGAACATTTAACGATCAGATAAGGTAATAAACATACTATTGAAAAAGAAGTTAAATAACGCCCCCTCCCCCTCCCTATCGAATGACCCAAAAAAAAAAGTTCAATCATAGCACTTACTTGAATAAACTTTTCCGCCTGCTTAACAAAAAATTTATCTGATTCATCAGCATCTTTCTTCTCATCATCCCACCTTAGAATAGCTTCTTCTTGTATAACTTCTAGGTCATACAGTTGATACAATATCTGTAAAAGAAAATTGCTACGGTCAGAAGAAAAATCAAACTCGTCAACTTTACAACTAGCTTAAGAAAGAAAGGCTGGCAAAGCACTCAGCAGAAAAATACACACTATTTATCAAAGGAACAGAAGAATTACAGAATTTGAAACAACTGCATTTCTCTGATCTTTAACATATAAATATGAGCATAGAATTGTAGTATCAAGTTCTACAAATGATTATAAACTATGTAGGTAGACATACCTTATCAAACACGGGGGCAAATTCCTTAGTGGACTCGCAAATTTCTTCAAGTTTAAGTATTACCTCAATCTGAAAGTACAGAACAAGTAATTCAATACAAGACATAAGCATTCACAATTTTACATAGGAAAAATTGGAATCGATTAGCAGCCATAAAAAATAAGGGATCTTACTGTCCAGCATTATGTCAACTCTCGAACAGTAAACATAATATCTACAAGTATTAATGAAAAGGATTCAAATACAAACCTCCTCATCTATTTCTGCAAGGTAATACTTCAGCAGTTTTTTCCATTTTGCAAGTACATTAGTAGTAGCTTGAACCAATTCACCTAAGAATTGAACAAGCATCATTTTGTTAAAACCATATGTCAAGAAGAAAGAAATACATCTACACTGCAGCTTGACAAAGATTACAGTGTAATTGTACAATTAAGACAGGGATGCTGTAAAATAGACTTATGAAACCTTGCCCACTTCGTGTATGCATGCATGAATTGCCCTAATGTGATCTTAACCTATGAAATTGCGAAAACCATCCCAAATTTGTGTTTACAACTCTTTCAGTATTGCTTTTTATTTTTGAGGACAATACCAATTGTTAAACATGAAATATAAGCATATTTTACAAAGTTTATTATTAACACAGCCAAAAAAAAAGTTTTTAAATGAAAACAGAATATACACATTGGTAAGAGAATAGCTAGCTCAGGAAGATTTACTTGCTGAATCATGTGGAGTTTCTAATGCCAATTTCATCAGTGAATAAAATAAACCACCAGCACAGTCTGCAGCTACCTTGTTGTATGACAACCTTCAATGGGCAAAAAAATGACAAGCATCAATCACCAAATAATACACACTAAAGCATCATCTTAACAGAAATATCAAAAACATTTTATATGGTTGGCAGATATATCTTCAAAGGACTGTTGATGAAGATCAAAATACACATACAAATGGGCATGTAAGCATTGAAGGCATTCAATAAAAGCAAGTAATCATGCATGGTTTAACTAAAAGATTCAAATATAAGTTAACTCCGCTGCATGAGATGCATGTCTGCACCTACAACTTGAACATCAACAGAAATTGACCATTTTGAAAAACCTTGAGAAAAACAAAAATAAGAGGTGCGAAACACACGAAGTAATTGATAGATCCCTAAAAGAAAACCAAAAGAGTACCTCAGTGAATTCACTTCTAAGATGACATGGTCTACTGTTATATTTTCATGCACAGCTCTTAGAAAGGTTGCTTCGACCTGCAGATGACAATAAAATTGTTGAGGTTCAGTTTTGATTTTGTACCATATTGTATTTTACTATCAACATTCCAGATGACGTTGTTCACCTCTTTCTCAAAGTAGATAGAATCATCTCTAGACTCTCCATCATCATCGTATTCAGAATCATTAGAATCAGGTTTTAACTCTCCTGAAGGTGGGAGGGATCTGCCATCTTGAGTAAGCTCCAAATCATCATCTGCAGCATGTATTTCCACTCCTCATCATGGCCTCCTTCACAGATTGACCAAACATAACCAGCCCCACCAGTACCAAGCTGATCAACAATAGAAACTGGTATCAGAGAATGTCAAGATTGAAGCAGCAGTACACTCAATAAATATCAGATTATTGCTTGTGAGGCTCAGTCTTGTCATTACTTACAAGAGGAAAATATAGAACTTAAACAATGTAGTAGCTCATCATCGCATGAGCATGATTACTATAAAGAGAACTTTATAAGTTTATGTAGCAACCAAAAAAAAAAAAAAACAGGAATGGGTACTGCACATGGTGAATGCAAACAGTATTCATTGATTTCTTTCAAATGCTTGTTCAAGTCAATGATCATTGTTTCTTCCCCCAACCTTTTCCCTTCTCTTCATTTCAGTTCCAGCCGTACTAACATATGCTGAAGCCCAAATCATGCCAATATTGTTAATTTGCATCACCCTAGTGGTCCAAGATACAGCATAGAAAAATAAGTAAAGAGAAGGCTTGTTCTCAGACAGCACCCCTGATTTTAAAGTTAAATTCCAATTTGACACCTTCTTCCCTTTCTAGCACCATAACAAGCCTCCACACCATTATCATAACCTTTCCCCTAACCTGAAAAATACCCATAGTAATGAGCAATGCATCTGGGGCAGTTTTTTCTTTTAATTGCTAGTCTTAAAGGAATTTGAGATTCTGCCCCAACGAGCTTAGCTGTATGCACATATTCTACAAATTATGCATTTACAGTTAATGAATACAAGACAAATCAAGATTGTCTGACATGTGGGAAAGAAATTTATAAAATATGTGATTAAAAAGAAATACTTCAAATTTTATTTGACGAACGAAGGACAGCAGAGAACCAAACTTGATAGGTATGAGCTAACCTCAGATGTAGGCCAACATTGTGTCTCAAATGGTTGGTTTGTTATTTCCCCATTTAGTTTATCCACTGTATGTGTGATAGCTGCATTGAACAACTCATAATAAGGGCAAATATCACTGGGAAAGAAATTTCATCTCTTACATCGATAATTTGTATAAACAAAAGGAATTAAATAAGCTTTAAAATACTTAACAGCTGTCCCTAACAAAGTATGAATGCAAGATACACTAGCTATGTCTAGACAAACAAAAGTTGAAAAACAATACAAACTTCATCAGAACAATAGTCAAATGGACAATAAAAATTGATTATTTGTGGAGCAATTTTCCCAACAAAGACTAAAGCCCCATGTCTCCCTCAAGATCCTTAATTTGAAATACTATTTCCATAAAGTAAATAGCAATTCATTTACACGTCTGCATTTTGGCTGACATGTCCCAGAAACCTATTGGCAAGCATGGTAGCTTTCCCGCTATGAGACATTTCTTGAAAAGTTATTAAAATCAATAATCACAGTCAACCATATAAAATAATGAGTAATCTAGTCATATCATCCTGTTACAATTTCTTTTTCATTCAATTGCTTGATGTGACAATAATTTCCATGTTCACCTCAAAGAAACTATCCTATTCCAAAAAGTTTACAGCCTATTTACCTACAGTACCTAAAGACCAGCAATAGGATAAATAAAACGGAGATTCCCTAAAGATATCACACAGGCTAAGTCCATGCTTTTGCACATAGCAGAACTCAACAAGACGAAACATGAAGCTTAGGGACAAAATGTGAAAGAGTTACATGAAATTTCTGCAATCCCAATGCTATTGTCAGCATACTCCAGCTCTTCGTCACTGTCTTGCTTAGTTGGCTGCTGAAGTAGAGATACCTTTGAGTACGAAGGGACAATAAACTGTTGCCCTACAACAACCTGGAGGGTAAACAATGTCAAAAGCACATTAAAATCTAACAGACATCAGAAAACCACAAGCGAAATGTATCTGGCTCTTACAAACTCAGACAAAAAGCAAAGATCAATGTACAAGGACAAACATATATGAGACTCAATTTGAGCATGCCAAGATTCATATTTCCCAATCTGTTTGTAAGACTAATTTTGGATGACTAATTTTGGATGACATCATAAATACCAGTGCACATACAAGGCTGAACCTAGGCAAGAAAAGCATGTATGTCCAAAAGGATTGTTTTCTAGAGGTCTGCCTAAAGTGTATAGGGTGCCTCCTCTTTGAAGTCTTTAAGCATAAAGCCCTCTCATGGGCATGTAACATATGAAAGGTGCAATTTCATAACAACAGTAAAATGAGCAATATAGGTATTCACGGGGAGCAATGCATACTGCACACCAAAAAAGAGATTTAACATGGTATTTAAAAAAGATAATAGGGGCACAATATTAACATCAAGGATGTATAAGTTATCAATCTTTCGATTTCCAAACTTCAAAATCAATATACTTCTGAACATCTTATCAGTACTACTACTTTACACCTTAAAATTAATACATAACATTGTAACAAAGATTCAGATTCCAAATATCTTTGGGCCAGTAAACTGCTTGGTGTTTTTTTTCAGTTATGGTTTGGAGCATTATAATTGATAAGACAGAAGAACTAACATCTGGCAATTCCAAATAGTGCTATAACAGGATTTACTGGCACGTACCTTGAAGGACAAAACAACACCAGGTTCCAAGACTGCTCCGGACTTTACTATCACTCCATCACATACTATAGCATGCCTTAGCTTGCAGCCATCTTCAATGGTGACATTATCCCATATATAGGAACCTTCTATGGAAACATTTGATCCAATAGAGCACCCTTCCCCAATAACAGAATTTGAAATTTTAGTGGTGTTCCCAATCTTTGTGCCACTCCCAATGACAGTAAAAGGACCAATCTGTGCAGAGCGTGATTGCCCTATTTCTGAAGAGTAGCTAGTTTATCAAATCACACATAATGAGATAGAAAAAAGAAAACCGGTAAATTTTCCAACTAGCAGACAATGGGTAAGTCCATCTCTGTCATGGATCAAGATAACAAAATTACCCGATGCTCGATACATCCCCTGTCTTTCCAGTTTTATTGAAGAGTTCCCAAAAAACTTCACATCTGGCACCAAAGGATAAGTCCATCTCTGAATTATGTCCTTACTAATTGTATCATAGCTTCGGAAGTTGTCAATCCTAGCCGCATAACTCGAGTGAATTTCATGTGTGAATATTTTGTAACCCATAATCTGAACGGATAGATGGTTCCCTTAGAAGAATTTCAAGGTATAGAACAAACACAGAGATAAATGTGCCCAGATTGACAGGAACAAGCATATTATGTGGGAGAATAAAAAACATATTTAAAAGAGACATACATCGTCAACAAGCAATCCCTTCAGAAAATGACGGCGTAGATGTTGATAATCAAAATTGTCTGTGAAAAGGCTGAGGACTTCAGGAGAGCATATGTCAATATAGCAATCCTGCAGACAAAAAAAAAAAAGTGGGTCGAAGTACAGAAAAATAGACTCACACAATAATTCAAGTGAATTACACAAAATAAAAATGTAAATAGTAATTGTGCAAGAAAGAGGATTATCTAGAGAGAAGAAGCTGAAGCATCTGGAATCACAAACTTGTCACATATTGATAGAATTCTTTCTTAGGGTTGATGTGACACACCACACCCACACATAGACTGAACCACCAGAAGCATTGTCAGCCACTTTGCCCCGAGAAAATAAAACAGCCACTTGATTTTATTAGATCGATGGACTAAACCCATTTCTACCCCAGAGACTTCTTTTAAAATTAAACAAATAAATAAATCTTTCAGGGATAAGCCCTAAATTACAGGACCGAAATCCCTAACTTCAAGCTACAATTGGTGGTTCAAGAGTAGTGGAAACATATGAACCAAAAACTAGAGTACTGATCACAACAGCTTCCAATTGGAGACATGCTTAATATAATATCCATATATAGGTGAACTGATGAATTACATAAACCTACTGGGGTGCTTCATTGTTCAATCTGTTAATTGCAGAAGCAATCAGGGTCCATTCATACCCGTTCTTATAGAGGTTAAATGTATGAGATTTAGTTCAGATGTCATTAGAACAATAAAGACTTGTTGAGGATCAGAACAAAAAGAACAAGCCGACTTTTCTATAAAGATTAATTAACAATCAAAACTAGTCTGGGGTTTAAAGGGAAGGCGTTGAGATGTTACCTGCTTGTCATTATGTAGAGTAATTGAAGGGTTATCAGCGAGCAACAATTTATCCAGATATATATATCCTTTTGCATGGTCTGCCTTGTCCTCGTAATATAAAAGCTGCTTTGTATTAGGATCTATTGCCATAAACAGCTCATCAGTGCCAAGTCGAGATTGGTGAGTGATCTGAGAAGGCTTTGACCGTTTTATAACTACTGTCATCACAGCATTACTATCTTTTTTTCTTCTCTCTTTATGTTCTTGAAGCACCTGAGTAAGCGACATGTTGCTCACCGTATCCCCGCTAATTAGGACAAAATCTCCATTTATCTTCAGAGGAAAGAGAAAAACGATGAAAAAGTTACTGAATGGAATATGTTTAAAATAATCAGATGAAGAAACAATTATAAGATCAACTGCAAAAAGAGTGGATACTAAAACCCTTAAAAACCTTACATTCTACTGCATAATCGGAAAATTTGAGAGAGAGCTGATTAACTCAAGTTCCATATTGAGAATCAGTGACCTAATCTGGTAACGTCTTTTTAAATGCATAGAAAGGGGGAAATTTTATTTGAGAAGAAATAAACTGTCCCAAGCATAACAATTTTCAAAGTTAAAAACATCATGTGTATATTGATCTTCTCTCAAAATGAGGAATATGGGCCTAATTCTAAGTATATTTCCAAATAATCATACTAAGAATATTGTGAGATATGAGCATACCACGTTGCGCTCATAAATCAAGCGAAGAGCATCTCCAGCACTAACAGAGTTATGTGACTCAATCGTTGTGACTGTGAAGTTTGGTTGAGAAAACCACTCGGAACTCTCCAAATAATCAATCACTTGTTTAGAATGAGCACAGCAAAAAACAAAAACCTCCTCAACGCCAGCAGACTCGAGCCACGCTAAGGTGTAATTGATCATCGGGACATTAACCAATGGCAACAGCACCTTCATCAGCAAAGACAAACAATAAACATGACAACTCGCATAAACTACATAAATTCATAGGTTTGTGTCATTACCAATTTCACTACCTAAAAGTTCATAATTAAACAAAAATTCCAAAGAAAAATCCATTCATAATGCCTTTCTTCGTTTTCCGAGCTTGACAATTATCAATTTTATGGTTTTGAACTAACAAAAACAAAAACTTCCATTTATACTACCCCAATAGCCAGATAAACATATGTTTAGTTGAGAATTTCCAAAATTATCACAGAAAACAAGACAAAAAAAAAATTGGGCGCAAATTTTCCGAAAGCCCATGTATCCATTACAACAAAACAGCATTATATACATATACATATGCACATTCATGAACACGCATAAACAAACACACACAGACATAGACATCACATATATGTATATACATGCATATATAATTGTATATATATATATATTGAGAGATAGAGAGAGATACTTTGGGGCGCTCGAGGGTGATGGGTCGGAATTTGGTAGTAAAACTATCAGCTAAGAGGATGGCCTGCAAAGGGACACGTGCCAATTCCACAGGGTCCTCTGAACCCCTAGATGCACCTTTTTTCTGCGTGCCCATTGTCTTCGTCTTCTTCAGATGAATCTCGATAAATTCCACGAAGAACAGAGAATTGAAGCGGTTAATTTAGAAAAACCCTAATCTAAACCCACTTCTGAACAGAGAGAGAGAGAGAGCTTGTGAAGCATATTCGACTGTAGTATGGGGGTCCGTTTCCTATGCGGTGACGGCGTTCGCCGTGAGATTGTCCAGCCATTAAGGGATAGCCACGTCATCGGCGTTATATTGTAATTTAACGAACTAACAAATTAATTGTCCAAACTTTTTAAAAACTCTGCCTCGGGCTTTAGGCTGAACTGCAGACCAACATGCAATAAACTTTTGCGCTTAGTTATCTGGTGAAGGATCTGCCCGGATCTGCTCATTAACATATCCAGCCGAACTAAAGCCCATTGAGCCATATCTTATACCTTTTATAATGCATGTCCGCCTCTTTGCACCTGAGTTCGATCTCACTCTCGGTACATTACATTAATTTAGACTATCACTTGCTCATTAAAATAAGAAGGAAACAAGAAACATCTATCATTAGTATTTTAAAAATGTGAAATTTATACTTTTCCTGTGAAATAAGAAGGAAACAAGAAACATCTTCTTTGTTTTTCCATATTTTTATACTTTTCCTTTGCTTGAAGTCTTTGGTCTGTGCTAATAAATGGCAATTAATGTTAAATGATGCCCATCGAAATGAAATTGTTAATTAAACTTTGTTTGTTTAATATATATTTGCTCTAAGATTCAAAATTTCTTTGTTTGCATTATGATCGTATGTTGGCAAGATCTTGGAGTCGCCTCAAGCTGCCCGTGAGACTTTTCAGAGACGGTTGGCTGGTTGTTTGTGGCTTGCGAATTAAGGTGTGATGCATGATCAAATAATTATTATATAGTTTGACATGTGCAAATTTATACATTTTAAACTTTCACATTATTATACAAAAATATATATTAAATCATATACATATTTCATATAGTCTCTTCCCTCGTCTTGTGTGACATATGTTAAAATTTGATATTTTTTCGTTTTAAGATCCGTGGAGAAAAGTTGGATAGAATTTGACGTGCTTTTTGCTGAGAGTTTATAGAAATTTGTAGGACATTTTCTTTAACGTTTATATACACAATTCTTGAAAAAATCATGCCCCAAAAAGGAAATCATGGTTTATGATATTTTAGTGCATTTTCACGTGATCCCCGGTCCACAACACAAACACAATGATTTCCTGATGCGTTATTCAAAAATTGGCCTACTTCTTTTATTATATATCTGAAAGTCGGCCAACTTGCCCCCATTTTATACCCAATAACACGTGGAAGGACAAGCCTCTCAACCTCTAACATCATTTTTTTCTTTTTCTTTTTTTGGGGGGGTTTGAATTTACTAACGTCATTAGCGAGACGAAAGACAGCACAAAAACAGAAGTACAGTTATATTTTTGTCCCAAGTTCCCAACACAAGCAGTAGCAGAGTAGTGTGGAATCTAATTGTGGATACAATCTTTAATAAGTTGGGGCAGATATGTAATTTTATAAAGTAAGAACAAAAGGCCAAAATGAAGACAACTTTTTATTATAAAAAAAGTTTAGTTCCGTGATTATTTGCATTAAGAGTCAAAGCCGTCAGCGTCAATTAAGTTAGATATGTCATGGACAGAGGCCAGGTGGGGTCCTGTGAGTGAAAAGCTGTCTGCCCCACGCCGAATGGTAACTAATTACCAATCCACTGGCAACACGTGCATGCATGCACCATAAAGCAATTGTGTGGTATCTTTTTCTTACAATAATTTCCCAATATTATTAAGGGAGTTTCACTAAAACATCCAAAATGGAGGTTGAAATTATAAAAAAACCCAGCTCCCAAAACACTTTATAAACACACCAAAAACTCATCATTACACACACTCAAAACTCATTTATAAACACACCCAAAAAGTTGACTTTGGAGTTGATTTTGGGTGTGTTTCTATGTTTAAATAGTGCTTGAGTTTTTTTATAAATACATGTCTATGATTGAGTTTATTTATAAATTTGTATATTATTAATTCAAAAAATTAAACATTTTGTTAATGTTAATATCTTCCCTTTTATCAATTTGTTTTGCGATATATATGAACCTACATAATACATAAGTTTTTGGATGAATCTACATTAGTACATTTTTCAATTAACCTTAAATGTGAAAAACAAAAAATAAAATGGTTGCGGTTTGAAATCGCCGATCATTTATAGATTTTAAAAAATGATAACATAATAGCATGAACTATAATCGCCTTGTCGGGACTTGTAATCGAGCTCAATCAAAAGTGATTGTTTAACCATTCAAACTTAACATGTGTCAGTTGAATTTGAGTTGACCACAGGGTGTAACCAAGTTTCGACAATGGAAAAACGAGAACTTGGTGTTGATTTTCAGAAAATTGGCCCTGCTTGGTGAAAATTAGCCTTTTAATTTTGTCTTTAGTTGATTTGAATTGGGACCTCTTTCAATATTAAAAATGGAGTACTATTAAACTAACAACTAATAAGTTTAAAATTCCCGTTATATGACAATATGATAATGATTCCAAAAACCTAAAACATTGGTTTTTTTGTTGTTTTTTGCCAAAACTAAAACATAGTTAATTGGTGTTACATGAGCAAATTATTTATAGAATTACGAAATTACCCTCTAAAAAGGAGAAGATGCTTTCATAACTTGACAAGTAATTTATGACTTTTTATAGATATTACTCATTCCTTACGCCTTGGTTTTATGCTATGATCATGTGATCAATCATCAAATGATCGGTGCATGTGGACCTAAGTGAAATTGGGTTATTAAAACTAAATTACTTTTCTATTTTAAGTCCATTGTAATGCCATTTTTATGAGTGCTCCTATTTCTCTATCAACTTTATCTTCATACTCACCATATAAATTTGAATAAATACAAACCTATTTTTTCACTCACTATTATTCCTGAAATACCCTTTAATTGTATTTCCATATTTGCTATTACAATTTTAAAAAACATATATAAAAAACAACAATATTTTTATTCAATTAGCCTATCCCCACCCCAATCGCCTTTTCCCTCCCCATCCTCCTCCTCTGGTGAAAACCCTACAGTCAATACCATAACCTTATTCAACCAAAGAAAAACTCTCCTTCTACTCCCAACGAAAAAAACACTCCCCTTCCTATCACCCACAAAAAAACCTCACATTGATTGCTCTCTCTGTTCTAGAAAATGAGTACACATTTGCTTTATTTTATTTTTAATTTTGGAGACTGCAAAAGAGGTGTTATTTGAGTTTGAAATTAAAAGGAAAGAAAGAAACAAAGGAAGAAAATGAAATGGTCATGAGTTTCTGTCAGTTTTAGAGTACAAGGAGAAATGGTCATTGGACTACTTGAGCTTTAGAGTTAGAGAAGAAAGAAAAACGATTGGATTATGTGTGGCTGAAAATAAAATTGGGGTTATGAGTTTGTAAGTTTAGGTTTTCTTCTAGACCTAATTTTTGAAGAACACGGAGAGGGAAAGATGTTGACTTCGTTTTGTTTGGTGTAAATAACAGCACTCATTTTTATTTATCTTCCTTATTCATTTCTTTAATTTTTGGCAAAGGCTTCAAAAAGGATTAATTTTATTTTTTTTTCTAAAAAAAAAACTTTTTATACAGTCATTTCCCGCAAGGCAAACAACGACGCGAGTGGCTGAGTTTCAGTGTCTTTGCGTTTCCTCAACGGTCATTAATCAGTTAATACCACACAACCCCAAACCCTATAGCAAGAATTTCCCGCCACCCGATGAAAACACAATCATTTTAATCACCAGAAACCAACGGTCGAGATCTACACCAACTTGCCACATTCCGCTACACCCGGCCGTGTCAAATCAGACATCAACCCCCTGCGTGTTTCGTTTTGGGTCCTCCTCTGTTTTCCCTAAAGCTAAAATCACACGCTTCTTTCTGTCTCTCTCTCTCTCCGAACTTTTTCTTCCATTTTCTCTACAAATTTTATTTCGTATTCTCGCGGTTTCCAGAGGCTTCCAATCTGAAAATATTTGTTTAGAATATATTCTTCCCTGATTTTCTTGAACTCAAATTTTGTTTCGTTTGTTGGAAGCAAAAGCAATTTTCTTTTTCTCGTTGAGCTCGGAAATTCTCCCATTTGCAGTCAGCAATACGGAGCGTTTTCATTTCCAGAGAATTTGACTCAGAAATTGAGTTCCACCTTCCTCTGTTGGAACTCTCTCTGTGTGAATTTGACATTCGATCCAAATCACAAGGTTGAATTTGGCATTTCATCCAAAGCACGAGGCTCAATTTGATATTCAGCTCGGTCGTTTTTGAAGTAACAAGGATTACGAGCTTCGTGAGTGCTTCATTTTGTGCTGCTATGCATGTTGTTCGAACCTCCTTGGTAAGCATTTTTTTTATGAATTGTTGGAAAATGAGATTCTTTATTTATTTAATTTTTATGTTTTTCGTTTGGTTGCCGAGAAAACTGAGAAGAATGAAGGAAAGTCAGCTGTTTGTCGTTTGAATTCTAAAACATTCAAAAAAACGTTTAGCATTTTGTATGTGTAGATGCATGTAACATATTCTTCAAAGCTTCTCTTTTCGTTTTCGCATTTTGTCTTCCAAATTTTGCTTTTGAAAACTCAAAATATGTTTTCAGAAGCGCTTCCCAGCTGGGCTGATAGAAGATGCGTGCTTTTTCGTTTTAATGCAGAGTTCATAAGGTTCATGATAATCAAAGATTGTTGAGATGGACAGTTCGGAGACATAGATTCCGCCAATACAAAGTTTGAAAAAGAATCTCTATCTGTTTTCTCTGGAAAGATAATCAAATTAGCTTATTGCATATTGGTTGGTCGTTTAATCTCTTAATAAAGGAGGATACAATGGCTGCTCATTTGAGCTATTTGATGTCAAAGTTACAAACTCTATCTACTTCAGATCACTCCTCTGTGGTTTCTATGAACCTATTTGTGGCGCTCCTTTTAGCTTGTATTGTGATCGGACATCTTCTCGAGGAGAATCGATGGGTGAATGAGTCAATCACTGCCCTTTTGATTGTGAGTAGTTGCTTCAGTTACTGATAAAAATAAAACAGAACATAATAAAAGTCTGAATTATATATCATACGTGTGTTATGGCAAATTCTGATTGATTTTATGTGGTTCTCGTGCAGGGAGTTTGTACTGGGATTGTTATTCTTCTGATCAGTAG